TGCACATTTAGTTGTAAAATTGAACTTTGATACCAGGTGACCTAGATTTTGATGATATGACCTACTTTCTTGTCCTTTGATGTACAGCTATGAAATTTGAACCATGCAGTGGCATAGCATTTTTCTAAATGCAATCTTGTTTTTATATAATATGGGGTAATTATTTTGCATATTATCGTTGATATTGATAGAATTTCAAGCTCCTGTGGTTTATCTTGTCTACTCAATTTCTATAAAAATACATGGCAAACAAAGGCATGTAATGTGTTTCAATAATATATTGGTCAAAACCATAATTGCAAGTATGTTATGACATCTGATATGGTGCATCTACAACTCCCATACATTCATACATATAGAATGGGGTCATGTCAAAAAATAAAAATGATTCAGTTCATTCCCTATGTCATGCATGTAAAACACCTTAACAGAAAATCACATTTTTCAACAATTGTACAAATTGCACATAGATCCAAACCACATTATATCACAAAAATGTCTATAAATGTTTTTTTTTCACTTGAAACCTATAGAATCAAATCTATTTAACCTTGATAGTGATATGGTGTATAAGGCTTAAAATTTGGTAGCAGGAAATGAGACAAATCAAATTCTATATATAAAAAAAATGAAAAAAAGTAGAAATGAAAACAAAATTATATGAAAATTGAAAACTGGGTTTTATTGAGTCTGTTCTATTAAAATGTAACATTTGACCCTGACTGAATCATCAGAATTAAGTTCAAATTGAAAAGGCTTGTAAGATTCTCAACAAGATTCCAATGAAGGAGCCCAATGAAGTCATGTTTAGAATCTCACTGGGATATGTTGGACGAGAAAAGTTTAGGATTCTTAGCAGGTTCATCCAATCCAACCAAAATGTTCAGAAAAGTCCAGGACTCCTAGTGGTTTTATCCAAAATCTCTTAAGTACCCACCACATGTATGTACATCCCTGTGATGGTTGGATATTATTGATAGATAAATATTATATAGATCTCCGAATACCCCTTTTAATCACACATTCATAAATAAACTGTTCCATTAGAAAATGACAACAGTCAAAAACATGGTTTAATAAGTTGTCACATACTTCACTTCAGTGTTGTTATGTTTTTTCTTGTCCTTCGGAATCATTGATTCCAGCACTTTTAAAGTGTTGAAAATTGAATACAGCTCAAGTCGGTGCTAGGGGGCACTTTTTCATTATCCCTCATGTACAGACTCAATCAAGCAAGTCTGCAGTTTTCATGTAGTTTTGTTGTGATAAATGCTTACATTTACTTTAAAAGTAAAAAAATAATATTGCCTTGGACATTCTGTTATTGTTTAAAATTAATTTTAAAATGTTTGTTTTAAACTTTCATTCATATGTTTAAAGGGACTCCACTGAGGTTTAAAAGCCTAAAAACATAACATTTGGATTTCTAACATAAATGAGCTGGGGCACGTTAAACAGAAATATATGCAAAGATACTTAGGAAATATTCTTTGAAATAAATTAAAAATTGTATTTTTATGCTTTTCTTAGCCGGATTTGTGTAAAAGCGTTTAAAAGCTTTTCATTTTGGATCCTTTTTTACAATAAGAATAATTATTCTGGAAAAATGAAGTGCTCGAATGATCTGAAATTTTGCACAAAGATTAGTGGTCTACATCTGTACATCAAATAGTACGTTTATCTAGAAAAAATATTTTCAGTCCCATTATATCAAAAAACCTCAGTGGAGTCCCTTTAATGACCAAAATGTGGTTCATAATCCATAATGACCAATGACCAAAACACAATTAAATTAATCATAATAAACATCTTTAAATGTCTATGTTATGCAGAAACTTCAATATTCAAAATTAAAAAGTTAGTGCAAAAACTATGGTAAGTGAACTAACATAATTTTTTTTGCATTTAAAATCACAGTGCAAAAAGTCTTGTAAGTGTAGAAGAATGTTTAATTACTTTATATACATAAATGAATAATTGTAATGTTTAAAACCAGTTTAATAATACTTATTAATGATATTTTCACATCATTGTCTGGTATTAAAGGGTTTTCTCAAAATAAACAAATTAGTTTTTTGTGTCTCCTGTAAAATTAAATGTCAGTTACAGTACTTTTGCGCTAAGGTGACAAAATATTGTATGGACACTGACAATGTAAAATGTTTTAATAATGCTTTACTACAATTATGGAGATAAAAGAATATGTTTTAGACTAGATGCATATAAATTTAGGATATTATTTTCAATTATTGACATGAATGAAAATATAAAAGAATATATTTGTACTTGGTTGCTTTTGTGTTGCCTTGAAAAAGGCGACATATAGGGGTTACTTTTGTCGGCGTGGTCGTTGTCAGCGTCCGTGTCCCCTTAAGCTTTTCCGGAGCATAAGTTAGCCGTTATAAATCGGATTGACTTCAAACTTGGTATGCATGCTTCTTATATTGACCCGGCGACATTTAGGGGTTACTTTTTGCGTCTGCTTCCCCTTAAGCTTGTCCGGAGCTTAAGTCAGTCATTATAAGTCGGATTGACTTCAAACTTGGTATGCATGCTTCTTATAATGACCCGAGGTACAGTGCGCAAGAACCGGTACTCTGCACTTCATATTTTTTTAGTTATCAATATTGCCCTTTGTTAATTTTCATACTTTATTTTTGTCCGGGCCATTTCTCCTAAAGTATAAAAGCTATGGACTTGAAAATTCATAGAATGATAGATCTCATTAAAAAGAAGTGCAGTGCACAAGAACTGGTACTCTGCATTTCTTATTTTTTGAGTTATTGCCCTTTGTTAATTTTCATACTTTATTTTTGTCCAGGCCATTTCTCCTAAAGTAATAAAGCTATGGACATGAAACTTCATAGGATGATAGATCTCATTAAGAAAAAGAGCAGTGCACAAGAACCAGTACTCTGCATTTCTTATTTTTTGAGTTATTGACCTTTGTTAATTTTCATACTATATTTTTGTCCAGGCCATTTCTCCTAAAGTATAAAAGCTATGGACAAACAACTTCATAGGGTGATAGATCTCATTAAGAAGAACTGTAGTGAACAAGAACAGGTACTCTGCACTTCTAATTTATGAGTTAATACCCTTTATTAATTTTCATATTTTATTTTAATCCAGGCCATTTCTCATAAATTATAGAAACTTCATAGGATGATAGATCTTATTGATAAGAAGTTCAGTGCACAGAAACTGCTGCTCTGCACTTCTTATTTTTTGAGTTATTGCCCTTTGTTAACTTTCATATTTCATTTTTGTCCTGGCCATTTCTCCTAAACTATATTGTTCACAAGGCGACACATCCGACTCGCAAAGTTCAAGTTATAAAGGAAAATTGCTAGTTAATTGAGAATATAGCTGTTTGTTTTAAAAATCAAGTTCAAACGAAATTTGAAAAAAAAAAAAAATTGCTTTATCATTTCATTTCATAGTTATCATACTTCAAAATGCAATGGAAGCAGAATGTGATAATTTTTTAGCTCACCTCAAGTGGCTCAGGGTGAGCTTTTAGAATCATTGTATGTCTGTCGTCTGTTGCCTGTCAGTTGTCCATATTTAGTTTCTGAACACTCTAGTGGTCACATTTTGGCCTCAATTGTCATCAAATTTTGTCTAAGTAATTGCTTGAATGATTTTTAACATGGGTTTAATATCTCGGATGAAAAACTCTGTTACAGGAGCTATATAAATAGAAAAAACTTATTAACACTGTAGCAGCTACTGTTTTGATCCAAGTATCCTGGAAATTGGTCTGAAAGTTGTTTTGATGATTTCCAAGTCAACTTCAAATATGGGTAACTTTGGGTCAAAAACTAGGTCACACATTCCAAATATGGAAAAACCTTGTTTAACACTCTAGAGGCTACTGTTTTGATCCAGATATCCTGGAAATTATAAAGGATGTTCTGGTGATAAACCTTGTTTTATGGACTTGTAGTTACTTGATTTTTAACTTGACTATACAAAGTATATGGAGAGCTGTCCTACTGCCCCGGCGTCACCATCCATTTCCAGATTTCAGATTATAGTATACTGTTTTGGTGCAGTAAAATATTTTTCACTTTAACTTTTTCATTTCTTAAGGTATCAACTTCAAACTTCAAATATTTTCCTGGAAAAATATTATTTTTACCGTTACTTCTTCATTTCTTAAGGGATCAACTTCATATCCTTATCATTAACCACATCTTATGTGACAAGGTTCATAACTCTAGCATCATGCCTAAAGATAACAGTGCTGGAGTTACTTCACTTTTAATGAAAAAACCTAAATGTAAGTAAGAACAAACAGGGATGGGAGCCTTGCTACTGGCTTCTAGGAGTGGGGAACTTAACTTTTCTTTGAATCTTAATAATTTTTCTATATTTTCATAGGTAGAATATTAAAATCCAGCAAATATGTATCATTTTCTGTTTCACACCTAAAACTCAGATGCCTGTGGGTTAAATATGTCTCACAATTTTTTTTGGAGACATATTGTTTTTGCCTTCGGCGTCCGCCCGTCCGTCCAGTTGTCTATCTGTCCACATTAAGCTTGTACGCCCTTCACAGGCCAAACAACTGGTGGGATTTCAACCAAACTTTACAGGAGTGATCAGTACCATATCTAGTTGTGCACATCACCAGCACATTCCGCTTCCCTGCATAAAATGGCTGCCAGAGATAAAAATAGAAAAATCATGTCCGGCCTTCACAGGTCAAACTACTGGTGGGATTTCAACCAAGCTATACAGGAGTGATCAGTACCGTCCGACCGACCACCCGGTGACTCCTATATACTCCCAAACATCGTTTCGGGGGTAAAATGACAATCCATTACAAATAATGTATAACATACTAGTAACAATTGTATCTACAAATAGTCCCAATACCTTTCCCGACATTCCAAGCTATTTTCACTCAAGCATATGAGCAGGGGTATGAATCACATTTAGCGATAGCTCTAGTCTAATTTTGCCTAAAATGTGTTTCAGGTATACTACTTCAGCAATGGCATTCAAAGTTCCAGTAATTCCACGGCTGGTACAGCCATTAAAGCAACCATCTAAATTACAGTCAGAATGTTTGGGCTTACCTTCAATCAACATAGATGCATTAAAACTGACAAAGACGATTGGTAGTGGAAATTTTGGTAAAGTGTCTTTGTACCATCATGGAGAAAGCTATGTTATCATGAAAGAGATGCTTGGTGACAGTGAAGACCACGAGCGCTTGTTTGTGAAGGAAGCCAAACTTCTTAACACAATAAAACATCCCAATATTGTGCAATTTAAAGGGATTGTAAAATCTGATGAAAAAACTGCTTTCCTTATGGAATATATACATTTTGATTTAACACCTTTTGGAAATCCAAAAAATATATCAAATTTGAATCAACTGAAAACCAATTTAGATGCTAGTGATTATGCGGGGTTTGAACACTTTCAAATTATAATTGCAGAAGATATATGCAAAGGATTGAGTTTTCTTCATAAAAATAACATAGTACATCGTGATCTGAAACCTGACAATGTCCTTGTGTCAAATCAACATTGCCTAGGGAAGCAAGACATAGATAAATTTTGGATGGAAAAGCCTGTGATTGCAAAATTAAGCGATTTCGGAGAGAGTCGGTCACTTCTGGTGCAAACAAATTCATTGATCCACACAAGGACAGACAATGTCAATAGAGGTACACCGGTATATATAGCTCCAGAAATTCACCTTGACAGTACAAAAGCAAATACTCTTGATGAACTAAAGTCCATGGACATTTGGTCAATGGCCATGATATTTTACTCGCTCTTAAATCCAAACACAAGGTATGTGAAATCATTATAATATATGTGAATTGATCTCAATAAATAGCAGATTTCATTGGATTCCATTTATCTAAATTGAACATTTTTCTTTACAAAGGTCTATAAGAATTTTCATAATGAACACGAAACACGAAAACTATATTTGTATAAAAAAAGTATTGAACTTTGCAAATCACTTCAAGATAAATAATAATGGACTGCTTTCAACTTGCATTTAAAAAAAAGTGTTGCATGCAGCACCTGTGACTTATCTATAAAATTAATGTCAAGTTTGTGTTAATCAAAATGCTTCCAAAATTGTTACATATAGGTATCCATATGAAGAAGAAGTTAAGACTGCTCTAGAATCTGGCATAACAGCAAAAGTAGTCATGACGCACATCTTGAAATCTGGAAACCTGCCATGCTTCCACCCAAAATACAAAGAAAAAAGAGCATGTGATTGGGCAAGCCTGGTGGACATATACCTTAGGACTGCCAAGTTTGATACCAGCTTGCGACCTAGTGTGGCTGAGGTACAACAATACTTCCTTGAATGTCGAAAACAAGTTTCCATTGAAGATCTTAGTGGGTAGGTAAAATACTAACTTGTTTGTTACCAAAAGCTGGCTGTCAAAGCTGAACTTAAGATGTTTTCAGAAAAAGATGCTTTTTCAGATTTGATTGAAATGACAATATAAAAATAGATTCTCTCACCCTTTGTCATTGGCAAAAACAGATCTTATTATTATTTATAGTAAGTGAAATAAACATAATTGGCTGTCATAAACAGCGGTGCATTTTTATAATTTTCGAAATCATGAGTTGTAATGCATGTAATTGGTATAGTTGTCAAAATTTGGATTATTTGGTATAGACCTTTTTATGACGCGGTCCGTTGCTATGAAAAATCGATCGGAAGTAGTATTTTCCCGTGCATGCGCGATCTGCATAGGGCAAAAAGTGCATAGCATAACATAGAAATATAGAAGTTCACAATTCCGAGTTAGTTTAAGGTAAAAGGTAGAAAACTGTATAAATTAGCTTTTAACAAAAATAGAAAAGATTCCTTTATAACTTTGTGGCCGAGATTGCGATACAAAGGCATGGAAAAGGAAATTGTTTAAGAATTTCCCCGTACGGTCACTGACCTGACATTGAGATTTTTTAAGAAAATGAGGAATTATATCTATTATTCAAATGGGAGTCAGCTAAATTATTGTTGAAATAGTTCATAAAAAGATCAAAGAAATTTTATAACATATGAAATCGAGGTTAATTATCATTCTGAAAAAAGTCAGAACAGACACGGTGATAATGCTTTTTTACTGTTCAGTTTACCTGATTTTATCCATATTTTAATGTGATGCAAAGCAGATAATTTTTAAGTCACATAAATATATTTTAAATAGTTTTTTTTTTTAAAAATCTTTAAAGAAAGTGAAATAACACACAATTGATCAGGTTCCTCATATTTTTAATGCAAGTCACACTAATTGTCACTTCTCAAAATCAATAAACATTGATGAGATCGGTATATATATATGTTACTTAAATTACAATTTTCATAATTGTACCTGATTAACTATGTCATGGTACTGAAACGTCCCGGTTGAATGATATTATAGCTGGAAACAAACAACCGCGTCACGTGTCAATCTGTTTGACACTTACCGCCTGGCCAATCCAAAAGATGGAGTACAATACACATTGTGTAATATTTTGTAATACAGGGTTAATAAAATTTAATCTTTAACACGCTGCTGTTTAAATTTAAATAACAGATGAAAATGCCGTCTAATGATACCTTAAACAGACGACTTTTGTGTGCACCTTTTGACCATTGGATTATTAGTCCCGCATATTTATTATATCTGCTATAAATATCAATTAACGTTTTAAGTACTTACCGCTTTAAGTCATCCCAAAATTACTGTTTTCTGGTTGACATAACATGGAATCACGACTATTAAAGCCTTAAAGTATCATACTCTGTTCTCAATTTTACTACGCTTTTGCCCTACGCAGAATAGGCATGCGCAAAATGCAACATCGGTTACTATGGAAGAATTGTATTGTTTAAAGGTCTATAATGGTAGAATTAAAGTTGCATTTAGCAGTTTGCGGCTAAGAGACCAGATTATTTTATACCTTTTTATACATGTAGTACGGACCCCCAGCCAAACTGCGGCTAAGAGACCAGATTATTTTATACCTTTTTATACATGTAGTACGGACCCCCAGCCAAACTGCGGCTGAAAGACCAGATTTTTTTATACCTTTTTATACATGTAGTACGGACCCCCAGCCAACCTGCGGCTAAGAGACCAGATTATTTTATACCTTTTTATACATGTAGTACGGACCCCCAGCCAAACTGCGGCTGAAAGACCAGATTTTTTTATACCTTTTTACACGTTTTAACCTCGAGAGTATGGACCCACAGCCAACCTGCGGCTGAGAGACCAGATTATTTTATACCTTTTTATACATGTAGTACGGACCCCCAGCCAAACTGCGGCTGTAAGACCAGATTTTTTTTATACCTTTTTACACGTTTTAACCTCGAGAGTATGGACCCACAGCCAACCTGCGGCTGAAAGACCAGATTTTTTTTATACCTTTTTATACATGTAGTACGGACCCCCAGCAAACCTGCGGCTAAGAGACCAGATTATTTTATACCTTTTTATACATGTAGTACGGACCCCCAGCCAAACTGCGGCTGAAAGACCAGATTTTTTTAAAACCTTTTTATACATGTAGTACGGACCCCCAGCCAACCTGCGGCTAAGAGACCAGATTATTTTATACCTTTTTATACATGTAGTACGGACCCCCAGCCAAACTGCGGCTGAAAGACCAGATTTTTTTAATACCTTTTTATACATGTAGTACGGACCCCCAGCCAAACTGCGGCTAAGAGACCAGATTATTTTATACCTTTTTATACATGTAGTACGCACCCCCAGCCAACCTGCGGCTAAGAGACCAGATTTTTTTATACCTTTTTATACATGTAGTACGGACCCCCAGCCAAACTGCGGCTGACAGACCAGATTTTTTTATACCTTTTTACACATGTTTTATGTTGAGAGTATGGACCCCCAGCCAACCTGCGGCTAAAAGACCAGATTATTTTATACCTTTTTATACATGTAGTACGGACCCCCAGCCAAACTGCGGCTGAAAGACCAGATTTTTTTATACCTTTTTATACATGTAGTACGGACCCCCAGCCAAACTGCGGCTAAGAGACCAGATTATTTTATACCTTTTTATACATGTAGTACGGACCCCCAGCCAAACTGCGGCTGAAAGACCAGATTTTTTAAATACCTTTTTATACATGTAGTACGGACCCCCAGCCAAACTGCGGCTAAGAGACCAGATTTTTAAAAAAAAATTTATACATGTAGTACGGACCCCTAGCCAAACTGCGGCTGAAAGACCAGATTTTTTTATACCTTTTTATACATGTAGTACGGACCCCAAGCCAAACTGCGGCTAAGAGACCAGATTATTTTATATCTTTTATACATGTAGTACGGACCCCCAGCCAAACTGCGGCTAAGAGACCAGATTATTTTATATCTTTTTATACATGTAGTACGGACCCCAAGCCAAACTGCAGCTGAAAGACCAGATTTTTTTTATACCTTTTTATACATGTAGTACGGACCCCCAGCCAAACTGCGGCTAAGAGACCAGATTATTTTATACCTTTTTATACATGTAGTACGGACCCCCAGCCAAACTGCGGCTGAAAGACCAGATTTTTTTTTATACCTTTTTACATGTTTTAACCTCGAGAGTTAATGGACCCACAGCCAACCTGCGGCTGAGAGACCAGATTATTTTATACCTTTTTATACATGTAGTACGGACCCCAGCCAACCTGCGGCTAAGAGACCAGATTTTTTTTATATACCTTTTTACACGTTTTAACCTCGAGAGTATGGACCCACAGCCAACCTGCGGCTGAAAGACCAGATTTATTTTATACCTTTTTATACATGTAGTACGGACCCCCAGCCATACCTGCGGCTAAGAGACCAGATTATTTTATACCTTTTCATACATGTAGTACGGACCCCCAGCCAAACTGCGGCTGAAAGACCAGATTTTTTTTAAAACCTTTTTATACATGTAGTACGGACCCAGCCAACCTGCAGCTAAGAGACCAGATTTATTTTATATACCTTTTTATACATGTAGTACGGACCCCCAGCCAAACTGCGGCTGAAAGACCAGATTTTTTAAATACCTTTTTTATACATGTAGTACGGACCCCCAGCCAAACTGCGGCTAAGAGACCAGATTATTTTATACCTTTTCATACATGTAGTACACCTCCCAGCCAACCTGCGGCTAAGAGACCAGATTTTTTATTACCTTTTTATACATTTAGTACGGACCCCCAGCCAAACTGCGGCTGACAGACCAGATTTTTTTTATACCTTTTACACATGTTTTATGTTGAGAGTACGGACCCCCCGCCAACCTGCGGCTAAAAGACCAGATTATTTTTATACCTTTTTTATACATGTAGTACGGACCCCCAGCCAAACTGCGGCTGAAAGACCAGATTTTTTTTATACCTTTTTATACATGTAGTACGGACCCCCAGCCAAACTGCGGCTAAGAGACCAGATTATTTTATACCTTTTTTATACATGTTAGTACGGACCCCCAGCCAAACTGCGGCTGAAAGACCAGATTTTTTTAATACCTTTTTATACATGTAGTACGGACCCCAGCAAAAACTGCGGCTAAGAGACAAGATTATTTTATATCTTTTTATACATGTAGTACGGACCCAAGCCAAACTGCGGCTGAAAGACCAGATTTTTTTTATACCTTTTTTATACATGTAGTACGGACCCCCAGCCAAACTGCGGCTAAGAGACCAGATTATTTTATACCTTTTTATACATGTAGTACGGACCCCCAGCCAAACTGCGGCTAAGAGACCAGATTATTTTATATCTTTTTATACATGTAGTACGGACCCCAAGCCAAACTGCAGCTGAAAGACCAGATTTTTTTTATACCTTTTTATACATGTAGTACGGACCCCCAGCCAAACTGCGGCTAAGAGACCAGATTATTTTATACCTTTTTATACATGTAGTACGGACCCCCAGC